TTTTTGCTCGTTTTTTTATTACAGTGACAACTCATTTCTTATTAATATATGTGGGATTCTCAATTTCAAAAAGTCACATGGCAACAGTGAATTCACTTTGATTACCTTACAATGAGCATGCCCTTATTTTCTCGATTATGCAGATGGATTGTCAAGTCATGTGACTTTGTGCATAGGCTTTGGTTTCTTCGATTTTTTGCTCAATTTTTTTTTACAGTGACAACTCAACACCAATTTGATATATGTGGGATTCTCAATTCATAAAGTCATATGGCAACAGTGAATTCACTGATTTGCCTTACAGTGAGCATGCCCTTATTTTCTCGGTATATGCAGATGATTGTCAAGTCATGTGACTTGCTGCACAGGCTTTTGTTTTCTCGATTTTTGCTCGATTTTTTTTAATACAGTGACAACTCATCTCTTATTTGATATATGTGGGATTCTCATTCATAAAGTCACATGGCAACAGTGAATTCACAGATTTACCTTACAGTGAGCATGCCCTTATTTTGTCGGTATATGCAGATGGGACTGTCAAGTAATGTGACTTGGTGCACAGGCTTTGGTTTATCGATTTTTTGCTCGATTTTATTACAGTGATTCTCAATTCAGAAAGTCACATGCCAACAGTGAATTAACTTATTTACCTTACAGTGAGCATGCCTTACTTGTCGGTATATGCAGATGGATTATCAAGTCACGTGACTTGGTACACAGTATTTCATTTCTCCTATTTTTTTCATTCTACTGACAACTCATACCTTGTTCGTATATGTGGGATTGTCATGCAGGGGCATGTTTCTAAAGTTTTTCATAACCAACTATATAAACGACTAAGGTGAAGACAAACCTTACAACTCATTTCGCCCTACGAAATTATCATCGTTTGTTTTAAAAAATTAACATGGCTACATGTTCATGGGAGGGAGTGGAATCACAAGAGGTGGTAGGAACTTACAAACGGGTGACAGTTCACCGACGAGGAAGGGGAAGTGGCGATGCTGAAGATGAAACACCATTTACTTTGTTAGATGGCTCTTGTGCTTATCATGATAGGTTTGGAAGCGACATTTTGTCATGCCCAAGTACTATCGAGATCCATGTGGTTTGGGAGGAACCATCAGATAATCAAACAGGATATGTTTAGCAAACGCTAGACTTCTGAAGTGGCCCGCACTATTTATAGAGCGAGTGCAAATGGAAAGATTATGTCGGGAAAATCGATTGAAGGTGCCAAAAGTACGTTCTTGTTGAGATCCAAAAGGAAGATCCTGATAATGTTGATCGACTATGTGAAAGACTACATCGTGAGATTTTTCAAATGCCCGTAGGTTAGCCCGCGATATGCCAGCTATACATAGTTTAAGAGATGCCCAGAAAGAAACATAACAGAAACCAAATGATGCGGCTATCGAGGGTATCATGGAGGATCCTGAGCTTGTCTCTAACGCTGAGCTTTCGGATTATTTAGACTCTGAGCCACCTAACCGATTTAAGCACGAATTAGGTGTTTAAGTCTACACTTCGGCATATTTAGGTCATGCATTAATATGTAAATGCCTGTGTTAGAGTAAGTGTTTTCCGTAATGAGTTTGTCAGATTGTCTGACTAATATTTGTCTGTCTAACTGTTATGTTTATGTATGTATTTGTAGACACCCCATTTTTGACCGTCCTCAAGACTTGGACGTCACTGATTGAACACACGGTGATCTTCCATGTTTGTGTTCGTTTGGATTCCCGGAGGCCTCGGCTCGCGCACCTTGTCTTCAGGATCTCCGAACTTGACCATTTTAGTGTCTGGTTTTGCCACCAAACACTTGCATCTTGCCTTTGAGAGGCCAGAGTGGGGCTTGTTGACCATCCCCACCCTTCACCCGGCAGTGGCTAGATGCCACCGGCTGGTTTTTGCTGCCACCGGCAAATTATAGTTTGCCGGCCGGCATCTTTGTTGCCGGTCAGCACTTATTTTGTGCCGGTCGGCACTTTTGTTTGGCCAAGAATGAACATTTTTTGCCGCCGATTGCTGTTCATCTGCTTTTGCAGATATTTTTTAGACAGCTGTATAGCTTTTGCTCCCCTCCATACACGTGTATGGAGGGGATCTCCCTCTTGCAAAAGCTGTCTTGTAAGCTTTACAAGAGACCATATAGAGAGAGCCCTCTATAAGGGAGGGGAGCCTTTAGAAACATTTTTTAGGAGAGAAGACAGAGAGAGCTCTGGTTTTTCTAGGGAGGGTTAGAATACACAAACCTATCTCTCTTTTCCTCCATTTTTGCATACCTAGGTGTTTTGTGTCTATATTGCAACACAAACACCTAGTGTTTCACCTTCCTCTTGGAGCTGAGGTTC